CTCGTGGAACTTTGGCCAGTTTAGCTATTCGGAAGTGGAAAATGCTTGAAGATCTGGCAGAGATGGGATTACAGTGTTGTGATGATGATGCTTGCAGTGAGTCGGCATTCTTATTTAGTCTTGTGGCTCAGCCTACTCTTGTTGTACGAGTGATTGAGTCACAGAGACAGGACCTGGACTTAGATGCCATCCACGCTTTGATCTCTAGTGGTGAGACAGTGAAAGATTGGGCCTTGCATGCAGATGGGGGTCTACGGTTCAGGAGCTTGTTGGTGGTTCCCACAGTTTGTCGTGAGGATGTCCTACGGGAGTTTCACACTTCCCGTTTTGCAGTTCATCCAGGTGGTACTAAAATGTATCACAATTTGAGGCGTCAGTATTGGTGGAGCGGGATGAAGAATGATGTTGCACAGTTTGTGGCTAGATGCCTTACCTGTCAGCAGGTGAAGGCCGAGCATCAGAGGCCAGCAGGTTTGTTGCAACCGTTACCTGTAGCGCAATGGAAATGGGAGCATTTTGTTATGGATTTTGTGACAGGTTTTCCAAGGTCACGGAGGGGCAATGAGGCCGTATGGGTCATCATTGACAGATTAACCAAGACGGCTCACTTTTTGCCTATTAAAGCAACAGATGATGCAGAGAAGCTTGGTGTTCTTTATGTGAAAGAAATTGTAAGGTTGCATGGAGTTCCTGTAACCATTGTGTCAGATAGGGATGCTAAGTTCACTTTAAAGTTCTGGGAAGGACTTCAAGTAGCGTTTGGTTCAGCGTTGCATCTTAGTACGACATTCCATCCACAGACGGACGGTCAGTCGGAGCGTACTATCCAGATTTTGGAAGATATGCTTCGGGCATGTGTACTTGATTTGGGAGGTAGTTGGGAGGATCACCTTCCACTTATTGAGTTTGCCTACAACAACAGTTATCAGGCGAGCATCCAGATAGCTCCATTTGAGGCGTTGTATGGTAGACCTTGTAGGTCTCCTGTTTGTTGGACTGAGGTAGGCGAGACAGCCGCCTTAGGACCCGACATTGTACTCGAGACTACTGAGAAGATTAAGTTGATAAGACAGAGGTTACTTACAGCTCAGAGCCGACAGAAGAGCTATGCGGATAAGCGGAGACGACCGTTATCCTTTGAGGTGGGAGACCACGTTTTTCTACGGGTTTCTCCACGGAAGGGATTGATGAGATTTGGGAAGAGTGGCAAGTTATCGCCACGATTTATTGGACCATTCGAGATTTTGGACCGAGTAGGAGAGGTTGCCTACAGGCTTGCTTTGCCACCACAGTTGGATAGGGTCCACAATGTTTTCCATGTATCGATGTTACGGAAGTACGAACCGGATCCATCTCACATTTTGAGTTGGGTAGATGTGGACATTGATGAGGATGTTTCCTGCGAGGAAGGACCAGTTCAGATCCTTGACACACAACAGAAGGTGTTGAGGAACAAGACGATACCAATGGTGAAAGTCCTTTGGAGACACCATGGAGTCGAGGAAGCTACTTGGGAGCTTGAACAGGAGGTTCGGTCCAAGTATCCAGCGTTGTTTTCTTCCTCAGGTATGTCTTGATTTCGGAGACGAAATCTTTTAAAGTTGGGGAGAATGTAATGTTTAAGTTTTTATTTTTATTTTTATATATATGTGTGTTAGTGGAGGGACCCACAATTTTGTTTTAAAGTGGTCATTAAGACCACATTTGTGTTTTTGGTTTCTGCATCTCACTCTCTCTTTCCCAGCTGCCCGCTTCCACCTTCCTCTCTGTTTTCTTTTTCCTTTTTCCACTTCATGGTTTCAATCCTTGATTGCTCCCTCATTTCTTTGTGTTTTTAAGTATCGTTTGAGGCAAAACAAAGCCCGCGACGAGCTCTACGCGCTCATACAAGCAATTTCAGGTTTTGGTCTTCCTAGGGGCTTCGAATTTAGAGACCCAATTTCTAGGGTTTTGCCTATTTTGAGGTAGGGGCATCTTAATCCATTCTAGTCTTGTTCTATTGTGAATTTTACCTCCATGTTGTATTAAATATGCTTAATTTAGAGTTAATTATATCTATGATGGTATTAATGATGTCTAGAGGGTTTTCACGATCTTAGATATGGTTGGTTCATGTGCAAATTATATTTAGTTGTTGATTTCCTATGTTTATTATGTGCTAGCATGCTGAAATTGATGTATGAGAGTATGCTTATTTAAATTGCGCCAAATTTCCCAATTCATGATGTTGAGCTCATATATGTATATACATGCATATGCTTAAATGTATTTTGTTGTATCTTAATATGTTAATAATTACTTAGGAGATGTTGAACATGTTGAATGTTTAATTTTATGATGGAAAATTTTAAATGCCATGACATTGAATGTATGGAACATATATACATGCACATACCATTGGGTTTGCATGAAATGGGAGAAATTGTTCTTGAAATTGTTCTTGAAATAAATATGGGGAATTTCAGGGAAGTGTTTTTGATAAAATGGTTTTATGCGAAACCCGGTCGCTGCGGGGTTACCAACGGGCCGGAAGTTAATATAGCCTAGAGGGGACTAGGGAGTCGCCCTAGCGTGGTTGAGCTAGCTGGGCCCCATAATGACGCCGCGGGGTTACCAAGGGTCAGGGACACTAGCCAATCCTCCTTTCGTGTCGCGGCGGGGTTACCAAAGGGCGGGCTGTATTAACGTTTGAAAGTGATGATTTTGAGAATGAAAACGGGGAGTGTCATTGACATGCATTGCATTTCATTTCATTGCAATGCATTGTTTATACTTGGAATTGACTTATATGTTGTATTTGATCCCCTACGTTGTATGATCCCTATCTCCCATTGGCCTATGCTTTGCTTAAATTCACAAGGATACAAGATTTGTGTCTTAAGTGTCACCTACTGAGCATATAGCTCACCCTACTATTTATACATTTTTTTCAGGTCTTGGAAAAGAATCGGTGGACGACAACCCACCTCAAGCTTGAGCGATACTAGAAGCTCACTTTTGTGTCTTTTGTATATTTCCCATTATTTTTGCAAAGCACTAAAAGTATAAAGGTATATATGTATATTTTGCAAACTTTGTCATGTAACCTTGTTGATGAATGGGAAGGATAATCTTAGTTAAAGTAATTATCGGTGTTATTTGATTGTGTATGATCATATACTGTTGTCGTGAATTCGGAATTTGAGCCATGATAGGTTAAAAATGAATTTAAACAGGGTATGGTAGGCCTATTTTTAGGGGAGGTTATGCCGAATTTTTTTGTAAAATTCTTGGCATCAGCTAGGGTCGTTACAAATTTGGTATCAGAGCAAAGGTTCGAAAACCTTTAGGACGACGGGTAGAGGCCTACATAGAGTCGCATGGGATGTTGTTTATATTGTTTACTTGACTACTTGCTACGTGGTATCTTATTTAAATGAGCATGCTTAACTGCCTATGTGCTTACTTGCTTACTTGTTTATGTTAAAATGTTTCTTGCATAGTCTTGTATGCTAAGTGTTGTACGATATTAATTCTTGTTGAGTCGTCCACAGTGGACCTTAGTGTCATATTTCTGAATCGTTTTCTTATTTTATAGCACGATGTCACGGCGTGAGGAACCTAGAGAAGTTGGCCCTAGGCCAACAAGGGGCGATGTTGGTGAGAGCTCTAGCTCCAATCCGGCGGAGCCAGTTGATGAGAACATGCTTCTTAGGGACTTGATTCCCCCAAGAGCTGTTCCCCCAAGAAGAGAGAATGTTGAAACACCCGTACCCGTAGAAGTGGGTGAAGGTTCTGTGGCACTGGAGTTTAATCGTTTGTCGCAAAATGTCGTGAGAGCAACTATTGTTGCTCAGCCGCAGTTAGTACCACAACCTACAGTTCAAGTTGAGGAGACTCCAGCTCAGAAGCGTCTCAAGATCATTAAGGGGTTTTCTCAGCTGATGCCGGTTATGTTTGAGGGCAGTGCGGATCCAATGGTAGCAGATGACTACTTGGATCAAGTTGAAACCCAACTAACTTCAATGGATGTGACAGAGGATCATCTAAAGATCATCCTAGCTACGTATAAGTTTGCTAAGGATGCTAAGGTTTGGTGGAAGTCAGTCACCAACCAGTACAATGCTTAGCAATTCCACATGGTTGCATGAACCCTAATTTCTTTCCAAGAACTTGCAGTAAGGTGTCCATTTAATTTCATCTTCAACATCTTTGAAACCTCCATTGATTATTTTTGAAAATATTAGCAACGTCGGGCTTGGATTGAGAGTTCTAAATCTTTAATGATTTTTAGTCCAAAGTCCACCCAATATATATAGGTCCAAAAGCAAATGGTAATGAAGTAGCCTTTCCATTCTCTATATGGTGCGACATAAACCTTTACACAACCTCAAGTACCTTCCTCCAGCCCTAGCACACCATCTCCAATTCCTTAGGGCCAGTTTGGTGAGAAGGGAATGGAAGGAAAAGAAAAGAAAGGTAACCGAGGGAGATGTGATGTTTGTGTTTGGTACAAAATGTTGGAAAGAAAAGAAACGGAACGGAGGGATTTGGAAGGATTCAATATATAATACTCCATGCCTTATTGAAAGAATATTATGGAGTATTATTCGGATTAACTACTAGGTATGAAAGAATATTCAAATTGAATACACTTATATGTAAAAATCCCAAGAATATTCGGATTAACATTTGCAAATCCATGCAACTGTAAGAAAGAAGACATAAGCTAGCTTCTTGATGGAAGTTGAAAGGTGTCTACAACCTGTCTAGTAACATTATAGGTTAGGTGTAGACTTGTTTTACGACAAACGACCACGAATTCCACAGCAAGCTTTTTGCAGATCTGGTAAGGAATTGGATCGATCTCCACACCCAATATTGCACACTCAGGACAACTCCAACTGTGTGTGTGTGTTGAGGAGGTGTTTGGTTATATAAACCATTTTTCTATTTACTGCAATAGTTGAAAATCTGGTAAGGAATTGGATCTCCACACCCATCACCATCAAACACCATGTTACTGTTTTGTAAAAGGACATTGTTTTTTTAACTAATTCAAATCAATCAAACAAACAACATAATTTACAACAACACTCTCAATCCTACCTATTAAAAATAAATAAATACACAAAAGTGTCCTAAAACAAAATACCTATGAATGACTACATATGACATTGGCAAAGCAAATAAAACTATTTTAAGCCATACATTGTAGTTGGGGTAGGGTGTCATCAATAAGCTTTCCCGCCATAACCTTGTATGCCTCTTGTGTCAATTGGACTCCATCCCAACTAATGAGTCTATTAGGTTCACCACAAACTGGAACTTCAGGAGCTCCACACATTCTTGCTAGACTAAAATTGTTGTCACCGCCAATTCCACAGCAAGCTTTTTGCAGAGAAGTGGCATCAAATCCTGTAACAAAAATAAATAAATTAAGAACAATGCTACTCTAACCGATAAGTTTAACCTAAAACACAAGTCGAAGGGTCCCACTTGGAACGTATCTAGATGCAGAGAGAGACTCACCCTGATTTGAAGCCTCATGTAAAAGCCATTGGAAGGCATTGTAGTGATCACCATATACAATGATTGCATTAGGGTATTCTTGCTTCAGACCTTCAATGGCTTTCTGCAGACAATCATTGTGATACATCGAAAAGCTGTTCAACGCTTTCAGACAATGATTTTCATCATAAGCCGACAAGTCATTAGTTTTAAATCCTGTGAGATAAATCGGAAAACAACCTATTGGAAAATTTCCGGGAACAACCACTCGAACTGCTCCATACTGAATAACTCTCTGCAGCCCAATTCATAGAATTAGAATTAGATAGAGTTAAAATAGATAGTAGCAAATAATTATACACACACACACACACACACACATATATATATTGATTTTTAGAAAATCTTACTCTAACAGCATCCATAATGGCTTCAACAATTTCAGGCACCATGCTCTTGACCTCCTCCATGGATTTGCCTTGAAACAATGCATACTTATAATCATTCCCTCCTATCTCTCCAACAAAGAAGAGAGAGTTTTTGAGCTTCTCAACACAATCTGTGAAAACAATATTAATAATAAGAACTTAAATCTCTTAATTCAAAGTTCATGTAATTGATTTGATTCAATCAACAACCTCTCTCATCGTAGCAGATGGAATTGAAATGTGTGAACATCCAATCAAGCTGAACGCTGAGAGAACTACCGGTGACCGGAGACGAAATGTTCTTGACTGCAAGAATCTCTGTTGGTAATGCTGTAGAACCAGCAACTGCAAAGTTTGCTCCATGTCTGAAGATTGCATCAGTGTTCTTGAAAGGATTGAGAAGTGGAAGCCCAGCTGCCATTGCTGTGAGAATATGAAATATATTACAATTTAGTAATTTAATTAACTACATAAAAATAATAATTATTAAACAAATAACTCATAGCATGAAATTCATTCGTTATTCCAAAAATAAAATAAAAAATTTGTGTCATTTGCATAAATGTTGTGGAAACAAACTTCTAGGACCCATGCATACGGTAAAACGTACTATGCATATTTGTATATCATTGGAGGATGTATCATATGGAAATACATACATAGCAATGCCTAACCATAAGCAAAATTAAAAAATAAATCACTCCCCATAATTACATGTTTCCTTTTGATTATATTAATTTGACAAGAAATTTTTTGTTTTTTTTTTTTTTTTTTAATATCCTCCCCATAATAATATGTTTCCTTTTGATTAAATTTGACCATTTGACGAGACTCAATACATGCATTAAAAATTAAAATCCCATACCATGCAGCATAGAGTAACAATATTTCAATATTTGAAACTAAAAATGAAAGTGATATGTACAATTGTGTGTGTGTGTGTGTGTATGAATAAACCATATGATTTCTTCATCAACACTACACCAAGAAATTTAAACTGTGAAATTCAACTTCAAATTCCATCTTAAGATTTGTTATAAGTTCCTTAATAGAAAATTCTGGATGTTCTTATTTATCAAGATTTTTAAAAAAAAATCTTGATGTTCTTATATATATATATTGCTAATCTGCTAGGCTTCCATTAAAATTATTCGGAGGGTCTCCAAGAAGATCAAAAGATAGAAAACAAAGATAAATGGAGTCATATTAATGGTAACTGTTTAGAAAAGACAAAAATAAATAAATTGTGAGGCCCTTTTTCTCTCCTTTTCTTAAAGTACCTTTCAGTAAAAGTTTAAACTTTTGTGAAAAGCAAAAGAAATATTTGAACTGTATGGCACTTATTATGTTACTTTACTTTAGATAGTTTTGATGGTAAACTATCAAAATTACATAAACAAAAATAATAATAAATAATGCAATAAATGATTGAGATCAAAAGAGAGAAAATTTATTTTTTTAAATAGAGACATTAATAGTCTTTGTTGGACTTTATTTATTGAAATCAAGCGAGAATGAAAAAATAATAATAATTAAAATGTCATACCAAGGTAGTCAATCATGAGGAGGCCATTCGAGCACCGACCGGTGGCAGTTTTAAAGAAAGTTTCACCATATGGAAGTCTAGCGAACGGAGATGCAGCTCCAAATGTACTCTCCCTTATCAAATTTCCGGTGTCGGAAATCGAGTCTCCGAGTTGATAAATCTGATCAAGATTGCAGCTCTGCAATGGATGAGCATACCATGCAGGAAGAAGAAAGATGGAGCAGAGCATCAAAAGCAGAGAGAAGAGCACATGGGTGGTGGCCATTTCTCTAAAAGTTTAGCTTAGTGCATGAATTAGGTAGCTTTATATAGATCTGAATAGTTTACAAATTTGGAACCCTAGTATTATGGAAAGTAATGTACTGTAGTACGTTACGATAAATGATTGAGATTAATTTCATGTTGTATTTCATAGTCCAACGTCAAACTCAAAGTTGACTTTGACCACATGGGACCCATAGTGTTAAGAATGCAATGAATGGTACGGATGGGATGGTGATTGCGAGATTAACGGTACTCAAGAGTTAAGAGTTAAAGTAAGATTGGAAAAGTTAGAAGTGGGTGGGGTTTGGTTCAGTTTGACTCATGGTGGGCCTACTAGTTTTACTTTGGGTTCTGAATAATTTGGCTCGATTTACTCCGTTTGATAAAAAGGAAGGAAATTAGATGGAAAGAAGAGAGTAAGGGAACATAGTTTGGCTCGATTTGCTCCGTTTGGCTCGACTTGCCCATTAATAATACATTTGCTTACTTGTTAAATGGTGATGGCTAATGATACCATGTAATAATTTATCCTCTTCCTTTCTCTTTTCTAACCATATTTTGATGATTAAAATTTTATGTCGTCAGAGTGACAGCTCCATCCATCATTTTTTTCCCATTCCTCCGTGTATCTCCTTACCAAACAAAAGAAGTTTATTTATTCCTTCTTATTTTCCTTTCACGCAGGCACAAACCCACAATAGGACCAGTAGGGCGAATGCCACCACTGGATTTTTTCTTTTTTCGTTTTATATTTCAAATTTTTAAGAATGTATGAATATGTCCCCACTAAAATTACAATTCGCCGCCACTAAAATTCTTTTTTTGCATTTTATATTTCAAATTTTTGAGAATTTATGAAGATGGCCCCCATTAAAATTACAATTCGTCTCATTGAAATTCTTTTATTTATTATACATTTTATACTTCAATTTTTTGAGAATTATGAAGATGATCCAAATAAAATTACAAAAATTGACTCACTATATAAATTTGTCCCCGCAAATTAAAAGTCCGCCTCCTCTCAAAATTTTCTGGTCTCAAATAAAGTAGAATTGGACAACTAAAAGTGGGTTGGGTTGGGCTAGGTTCAATTTGAAATTAATGGGTCTCAAAACTATGGGGCTATTACCAATTAGCATTAGTCATGTTTACAAGTATTGTATGTTTAGATACATATTCCGCCAAAGCTACCATACGACCCAATAAAAATATTCGAACAAAACAAAGTGTTTGCAACCGCACAATAGATTTGTTTGGTAATTGTTTTTGTTTATTGTTTATGTATAACTTTTGGTTATGGATAAATACATATATTGCTTTCACGTAATAAATTGTTTCATTTTTTTTTTAAGATATTCATTACTTAAGTAATAAAAGACCCACCAAAAGAATGATGTTTGTTTTTTTTATTAGCTCTTTGTTTTCTTCATGAAAAAAAAAAAAAAACTAACGATTATAAAATTGACCTGTTGATTATATAACTGAATCTATAAATATAAACAAGTTATTATAATCAAATCACTTTACTAGTAGGACATGGATTGGTGATCAAAAGTTATATTTATATATATGTGCATGCATATATGCTCATCAATCCGAGCCGCTCCATTAACGCATTAAGCACAAAGTAAGAATGGAGACATACAATCAGCCTCCTTCCACCGCCGCCGACCTGATCCAGGCCCCTTCCGCCTCCGGCGACCGGACCGTTCGCTTCGCCTCCGCCGACCCACACTCGATCCGACCCACTGGCTTCGCCGTAGATGGAGACGACAACGTGGCGGTAAGCAACAACTCTAATCCTTTTTTTAATTTATTTTTACTATATATTATTATTATTTTTTGGTTTTGGCTGGTAATAAATAAATAGCGTGGAATTATAGATTCGGGAGGTAGTTGCGGGATAGATCTACGGGACCTATTTTGTATTTGAATGTAAGGCTTGCAAGGGCGAGTACCATCTCGATGATGTTTCAGGATGGTATTTATTTTTGGAAAAATTACATATAAATGGAGTTAAAGTTTCATATTTATTTAGAGGCTGAGTCAAAGTTTTATATTTCTCTAAAATGGAGTGCTGAGGTGGCACATGGTTTTTTACTGTTTAGAAATTGTAATGCCTAAAATACCCTTCCGCGAAGGTACTACTTTTTCTTCGAAGGTATTACTTTTTTGAACTGAAGGTACTACTTTTTGGCGTCCAGGTACCATGTTTTTTAAACACTCGCGAAGGTACTACTTTTTTGAACTGAAGGTACTGCTTTTTTGAACGGAAGGTACTACTTTTTTGTTAGGGAATGGCATTTTAGGCACCACAATTTTCTAAACAGTAAAAAACCATGTGCCATCTCAGCAATCCATTTTAGAGAAATATGAAACTTTGACTCAGTCTCTAAGTAAATATGAAACTTTGACTCCATTTATATGTAATTTTCCCTTTATTCTTCTACCACTATACTAATTGTTTTATTTTTTTATTTTATCCCGCGAAATTCTATATATATAAAGTTATTTTATGCTTCGACTTATTACCATACCTTTACTAGTGCACAAGCTCTCATATTGGAGCATGTGTAAAATCAAGACACACTCAATTCAATTTTAAGACTTGCCAAACTTATATTCGGCCAATTTAAAATATTTAGTCAAAATAATTTTTTAATAAATTTAACTCAAAGAATTCTCAATTTCGCACCGGACTCATGTAGAGATTTTTTTTTTTTTTTTTTGGCATACCCCTTCAATGTCCCCTTTCAATAAAATTTCTAGGTCCGTCATTATGTGAGGTTCGTAAAGCATTTCAATTCACATAGTTTAGTAAAGCACGTCAATTCACATGTGACTTTATTTCATATTTCATTGTGTTAATATAAGTATATGTTTTGAACAGGTCTGAATCCTTGTGTAGCAGTCACAGTCCATAATTTAAGTCTACTCTTATATATTAATCCTATATTCTCTTGTGTGTGTAAAACTCTTGGCATAACCAATCGAAAACAAACCCAATCAAAAGCAACTCAATTGGAAAACCTCATGAATATTTTGTCATCCATCATTAAGCAAACCCAGCACAAAATTCTCCACCCATCACCAACTCAATGTAACAGAACTTTAATTGAAACCACTAGTCGATCATTGGGTGAGTCTTTCGTCACTGATTTTCACAGTCGTCATTAGAATCTGTCACTGTCATATTCCTCACCAAATATGTCTCTGGATTAAAGGCTAAGATGTCGGTGGAGATTGTGCTGGAGAGAAAGAGGGTGGTGTTGGCCGGTCGTCGATAGTGGGGATCTTTGAAGAAGAAAGAATATAGTAGTGTATATATATATATATATATTTACACACACGTCACATTCTGATTGGCTATTGATGATAAGGTTGGTGTGTTGTCGACTTTGTAGTGGATGCTAAGATTACACCCCTCGATGACTAATTCAATGAGAACCCTCCTATCATAAAATTTTGTAATTTATTAATACACTTTTGCAGGACTATTTTCTCAATCTTGGAGCTGTATTTAACTGGTTTATCAAATATTAATGGTCCACGATTATATAATAATTTATCCTATGGTTAGACTATTGGTGATAAGTTGGTTGTGTGTTATCATATTTTTAGTGGATGTTGTGATTATACCACTCCATGTCATTTACTTTATTGAAACCAACTTGAAACAATATAGTTTTGTATATGGGTAAAATTATTTTTAATTTTTTCTGTTCTCACCAATTGGCTGGAGATGTTACATTTGTGCTTTATTGCAAAAATTTAATAATTCAAGGGGACAAATTATAATTCTGAGGTTAATTGCAAATGGCCGAGTTTTTATATCCTATCATACCGTGTCCGTACCTCCTAACTTTCCATCTATATGCTCTTTGTTTATTTATCCACTAATTAGAATCATATTTTTAAAATTATTTTCCTCAAGTATGTGCTTCAAAAATTGTTTTTGTTTATAAAATGCAACTTGAATGGTTAAAAATTTTTAAAAAGTCAATCTAGTAATAACTTTTCACTGCATTGGATTTTGATAGACTGATAATAAATTATGGGAGTCAATGAAAATTGTGCACTGCAAAATTTTGATTTTCAAAAGGATAATACTTTGCCTACTTATCGGTGAATAAAAAATTTCTACGTACCATTGATGTGGCTTAAAAATGAGATGACAAGTGTATCGTCAATTAAAATAAATAAAAAATAAAAATCTAAAATGAATTCAAAGTAAACCAAATAGCAAACCGGATCCAAATTAAATTCCTAATTATTTGCCCTGTCTCTCTCACGCTGCTCTAGCCAAAGAAAACTAAAGACTGTAATCTCTCTCGCTACTCTAGTAGAAGACAACGGACAACCTGCAAATTCTGTTGGTTGAGTCTCGTTGGGACATTTTGTGGTTGAGAAGATGAATCCTAATAGTTTGAATTTTATCCAAACTCTTCACCATCATCCAGATCTTTATGGACAGAAGAATGAGATGCATTGTGATTACTTGTATGATTACTTCTTTTTTTTCTTTGGCTCTGCCCCCACTTTCCCATCGTTCATAACTATGGGGAAAAAAAAAAAATTCAGATTTAGAAATTGATTCTCTTCTAATTTTCCAAGAGACTTTTCAGATGCCAAACAAATGAGAACCGAAAAGGAGTAGTGACAGGAAATTGATTGTCAGTAGTGAAGGATTGATGGTGGAAAGCCTAATGGGACTGTAAGTCTTAGATGAGTTAGAGTGATTTGGGAATTGTTTGTTGCCTTGGGCTAGGGTAGCATTTCTAAAAGGGGATTGGAGGCTATTCATCTGTCTTTGGCTAGAATAGTGAGAGAGAGGGGAATGAATTAGGGATTCAATTTGGATCCGGTTTTTATTTGGGTTTAATCCAAATGCATTTCAGATTTTTGTTTTTTATTTATTTTAATTGACAGTACACTTGTCATCTCATTTTCGCACCTCGATGGTAAGTAGGAATTTTCAATTCACCGGTGAATAGGTAAGTA